ATATATATATATATATATATAATTTCAGAGATAATTACGCACATAACATTTGAAATATTATTATTTATTAATCTTGGTCATCACACGATATTTTTGAACTATTGAATCAATGTATTTATGTGTGTCGCGATCTGAACCATTGAAAATTCGATAAAAATGAAGAATATGAGTTGGGGTTTTACGACAGATTTTTGATATTTGAACGAGAACTTGAAAAATGATTATCTTTGTAAATAACAATATTTCGAGTGATTTGCATGTAATTGTATACGTCTCTTAGCACAAGAGAACCATGGCTTTGGCTCCATCCCACACAAGCTCAGCTCTTTCTCCTCTACACTCAGCTCGCTCCTTCCTTTACATGAGGGCTCTTTAATTAATTGCACGACACCGACGTTGGCTCCAACTCTGTGTGACAGAGACGCCACTGTTGTCGCCTATGCTTGACGACTTCTCCCGCACCAGACAAACACCGCCGTCTTCTCTGCCTCAACCTCGTCGCCTTCACACACCGTGGGTAAGTCGATCGCGCCTATTAGCTCCTCTCCTTCTCGTCATCATATACACGAAAATAACCACTCGACCTCCCGAACCCTCTTACTTCACCTTCCTTCGACTTTTTGTTTCCTCTCCTCTGTAACAGAAACGAGATTTCACAAGAGCAAGCAAGGACCTGTTGATATCCATGAGGAGCTTGAGCAACAGCTTGCCATTTGAGTATCCAAATACATCACAAACCCCCTGAAATTCATCGATAGGGCTGACAAGCCGAACACGAGATACTACTCATAAAAGATATATATATAATTGATAAGTAGTATTTCGAGCCAAAAACGAGCCGAAAATGAACGAGCTTATTCATGTTGTTAGTGTTAGGCTGGTTAACTTAGTGGATTAATGAGCCAGAAGAGTTGTTCGCGTACAACCGGAGCTCTTATTATGTGCGGACACCGCACACAACTATGCGTGCAGTGTCCAATGGAAAGATGACACACGGAACTGTGGCCCCCACAACTTAAAAAATTAAATTAAGGCATTCTTACGGCGCAGCCCGGCCCGAATCCGGCCTGAAACGCGTAAAAGTTAAACAGCTCGCCTGAAAAAAGGTGATTTCATCAGAAAACCAAACGTCGCCCGAGTGAGGAGAGTGCAGAGCACCTTCATTTGATCTTCATTTCATCTTTTAGGGTTTTTGAATCAGAAAAACTTAGGGATTTAGAGTTACTGTTGGTTAAAAAATTTCAAAATCAATTTTTTTTTTTAAATGAAATACATATTTTCATGTATTAGTTGATGAGACCAAAATATAATTGCCCCTAAATATAAATATGAAATTTTAATTGTTAGATGTGTAAATACATTAGAATTGTGTTGTATCTTGATGTTTTATGTAATTATGAGCTCCATTTCACCTCTTTTTTCACAAGGTCTCTCCAGGATTGTATGAATTCACAGATTATATGGGACCCTACGTTAAAAACGATTCAACATAGCTATCCTGAAAAGAAAAGAGCATTTCACTTTTCAAAAGTTGATAATAGTAATGTTTTTTATGTTACATAAAAGATTCACGTGTTATAAATATAAAAATATAAATTTATGGGTTAAATATGTAAATACTTAAGAATTGTAAGATTGTATGCACCCATTTATATGAATTAGCTTCCAAACATATTCAGAGGAAGCACGATGTGGCAGTCAAATTCAATCAATTAGGCATGACAATTTGACAAACTCAGTCAGCTACCTTCGACTTGCTCATTTGGATGATATTTGATATGTCAATCCAAGTCAACCTACTCCAGCAGAATAATCCGCTATCAACTCGCTCAATGAGTTCGACAAAACAACTCGGTGAGCGGTGTGACTGCATCATCGATTTGATCTAAGTTGTGTTGTCTGAGATGAATTGGTTTTGGGTAGGGGTGTAAACAGACTCGCTTGTGTTCGGCTCGTTTATTTTTCGAGCTCAAAAAGTGTGTTCGTGTTCGACTCGTTTTCTTAGCGAGCCGAACACGAACCGTTCACGAAAAAAGTTGTTTTGACAATCCTAATCACATAGCCATAAGATGTTAATGATTGGGGCAAATATTTAAAACATCATTTGAATCTAATTTAATATTTTTTATTTAGTTTTCTTAATTAATACTTTTAATTGATTATAAACTTTATAGACTTATAGTCAACTAATTTTTTTTTAAAAAGACTACTCATCAAAATTATATATGTAATTGATTAGTAGTATTTCAAGCCAAAACGAGCTGTTCGCGAACAACGAGCCGTTTTGACAGGCCTAGTTTTGGGCTGACAGAACGAACTTTGTCA